CAAGCTGCCAGTGAATGTGGCATATCCCAGCCCCGCGGCAAGGATCCCATCATGGGTCTGCCCCTAGCTCCTGACTCAAGGTCAGATGGAACAGGCCAGCCGACAATGAAGATCTCAGCAGTTGCACAATATAGGTTTCCCGATTGAAGGGTGAAACGGCAGCAAGGAATGGTGGCAGAACTGGCTAGTTTTCACCCTGAGCACAATCCCTCTTCTCTATCTCGGGGGTGAGATAACCCCAATAAAATGAGGAGGCATCCAATCATTGATAGCTAGTATTGTTTGCTGGGGGGTTAATAAAAAAGATTAAACTATGATGCCGAAAAGCAAGCTTCAAGCCGGCACCTGCTCTTGCTTGTTTTTGTGTCAAGCTGATTTTTGTACTGGGAGGGACCTTCCCGTTCTGTGCTCCCAAAGGAATGAAAGAAACGAATGAGAGAAATGAATTCCGTGCACAACTCTAATGCCCAGTGTGGTTTTAAAAAATAATATTTCAGCAGCTGTCGTCCTATCCCATCAAACTGGGAATAAGCATAATAGAGCAAAAGCAGAACTAAGGAATTTCTTTCAAGTGCCAAAACAATTTTTAAAAATCAAATTGTGAGGTCACTGTGAATTTTCCCCTGGAAGCAAACAGGACCAAATAGCAAATGTTCAAAATAGCAAGTCCCAGATGCCCATGAAAAGTACAGTTTCTGCCTTGCAATTACAAATCATGGGGAAAAACAATTACTCAAGCAGCAACAGCTGAAGAGAGAAACAGGTAGTCTCCAGTCAATTTGGTGGAACAAGGTAAGAAGAGTAAAATTGGTAGAAAATAGCTGTTTGCTGACACAGTTTTAGTAGCAAGGGACTGAAACGCAGCTGGAAAGTGAAGTGCAACATAAATAATAGTTATTACTTAATTATGCAGAAGCTCTTGGGGACCTAACATATAGCAAGTATTTAGTTTGGCAAAGTTTGCTTAATAACAATGCAGTTGTAAAAACAAGCCAGAGTTAAAGTTACAGGTGAAGCTGTTCCAGGATTTAAAATGTTTATAGAAGAAATCTAGAATTAAGATAGTTTGCAAAAGGCTTAGATGGAAGCATGGCAATGGCACTAAAGAAGGTAGAACAGGAAGCCACTCTGAACTATGTTTTGGTATAGGTCACCTTATCGCAATTATGAAATGGAGCATCCATGTTCAAAGGCAGTGTGCCTCTTAATACTAACTGGTATCTTCAACCTACTAAGGTTCAATCTACACTGCCATATAATGCAATCTCAGAATGCCGTTTAACTACATTGAACTGGATTATGAGTCCATACTGCCATATAATGCAGTTTAAAGCAGTTAAACCGCATTCTGAAACTGCCTTATCTGGCAGTGTGGATGGGACCTAGAATTTTAATCTTGAAATAGGAAGACATGCTGTTCTAGTAACACATTTATGGATCGCTTAGCACACTACAGCTATGTGATGCTACCTTGTTCTGATTTCTGAATGTCAGCTGCAGGGGAATGGAAAGCAAAGGTTTGTTCCCTTTATTGCTGGGCTGCACACAAACCAAATGGCATCAGTTGTAATGGTGCGAAACACAACACTGCAGTAGATAGATTTTTTTGTCTTACTCATCAAATTGTTCAGAAGTTCTTAAATCACAAAGCAAGCAAACGAACAGAAAAGAAGCTAAAGCTGAAAATCGCACACGGTTAAAGCCATTCAACTATCAACACCTATCCTATTACCATACCTCCTCCTCTGCCTCTCAGATCTTGCTCCTGAAGACTGCAGTGAAGCGGTTGCGGGTGCGCATGTGCGAGATCTGAGAGGCATAGAAGGAGGGACAGTAATAGGAAAATAACCATATTGAAATCAAATCTGATGCTTTTAAAAAATTTATTTGGTGTGCGTTGGAAGAGGGGTAGTCTTATATGGCAAATATATCCAAAACTCTATATTTTAACTGAAAAAGTTGGGGGTCATCTTATATGCCCAGTCGTCTTATATGCCGGAATATATGGTACTTCACTCTAGCTCTAGCACACATTCTTTATGGGCAATGTCTTTGAGGACTCTTTTGCACAGCTGGTTAATCACCAGCAGCAATACATCTTACCAACTGAAAGCCTGGCAGTTCGAAGTCCAGGTCAAGGTGAGCACCCAACCTTCAGCCCAGGTTACAGTCCACCTAAGCAGTTTGATAACAGCTGTGAGTAGATAAATTAAGCACCTCTTAAGTGGTGAGGTATTTTACAGCACCATAAAAGTAATACCAGAAAATGCTGGCAATCAAAGGAAGAAGTCTGTGATCAAGGCTCTTTGTCATAGAGGATAGAGTGACAGCACCCCGTGTGGCCGGAATCAAGCACAACCTTTAGGACTCCAAAGTTGGGGGGAAATGCCGACATAATACCTCTACCTGTTGTCTGTCCTGTCTGTTTAATGGCTTTGGATGTTTGCCTGTATGTGTTCTGTGAGTCCCCTTTGACATGAGAAGGGAAGAATATAAATGCTGTAAATAAATAAATAGTATTTGGCAACTTCTCCAAATGGGGGACAGGAAATACAACCCCACAAAATAGGAATTTCTTACTAACATAAAAAAATCTTGCAAATCACTATATATTGTTAAGCCAATGTTCTTAAATCCAGTAATCATATGGAGCCTGTTTATCTCCCCACCCCACATAGATATCTTGACTTCTTCCATTGCCTAAAGAGTATGGACAAGGGTATGCCCTTTCAACAAAGTGAGCTCCACCTCAGCAGAAGCACCCAACTATTTCCTAGTCACTGTGGGCCATAGTTTCTACTTTAGAGATAACTAAAGTAGAAACTACATTAGTTTCTGCCCCTCACCTGAGCTTTCTTAAGGAGCCATTTTTCTATAAAGATCTTCAGAGCATAAATATTCTGCTCTAAATATGAGAAAAGATTGTTTGAAAAGCAACCAAAATAAATGTTGTGTGGCAGAAGAGACAGTACCTCCAGACAACTGTGGGAGAAGAATCCTTTATTTTATGTGCTCATCCACAGAGATACATACATCAAAACTAAAACACAGATAAATGCAGAGCTCAAAATCTAGCCACCCGATGCAAAGCAAATATGTAAGCTATAGCATATCAGAACATTGAATAATTTCAAAAACTTAGTTTCTACGAACCAGAGGAGTGATACGCTAATATAAGCCATGGCATTGGAGGAGAGACGAAATGACAAGCAAAGATCCTTTTTTAAAAAAACTTCAACTATGCTACAAAACAATAACTTCACTCTCACATACCCAATTAGCCAACTTTTTGTCATTAGTGAGTGAAAATTTAGAACTCCTGGCATAAGCAATAATGAAATACGGGGGAAGGAAAAGTAATTAGCAAGGTATTTTGTGACCAATCATAGGTTAATTGTGATGGTGGGTCTTCTGACAAGGGCTGTGCTTGGGGCCAATAAGAAGAGAGCATTCCTAAACTGGCCTTTCATTTTGTAGCTGTGGAGAGGCTGCAGATTAAAATGCTTCTGTGTGGCAAAATACCATGCTGATGTCACACTTTCGTTTCTGAAGTGACTGATTCTGTCTCCGTGGGAAAGCTTCCTTCCCATGGATATAAAAGAAGATCAACAATGGCAGGGAAGTCTTCCCACAGGTCCACCCAGAAGCACAATAGTGTGCCAGAAAGCAGGTGATCGTATAGGGATATGTAACACAAATGCATCTATCAGCCACAGCAATACAAAGAGATGATGGTGCAGCAAAGAGGTAGATCTGTAAAAAATATGGTCACTGATCTGAGTTACCCCTTCACAGAAATGCTTTGTGTTGTTACCCAGCTGACCTCCCAGGGATTTCCCTGCCGCAATCCGCCCAGAAAGGGCAGGCAGGACAAACCACTGTCTCCAAATTCTGAAGAATTCCTCTGAATACAAAAGAAATGGTGGAAGGGGTCAGATACAAACAATATGTTGGCAATCAGACACATACACATAATCTAATGGGAGGTGCAAAAAGAAAAAAGAACATAGTTTTGTTACCATAGAGATCTATAGAAAACTAGCCCAGATGTTTCAGTGTAAGAGTTTGGGAAATGTTATTTTTAATTTTTTTTGTACTACAGCTCCCAGAATTATTTTAAGGAGTTGTAGTCAAACACAACTTTCTAAGCTCTGCTTAAATTAAGCTCTGCTAAAATTGGAATGCATTTGTCTTCTTCCTCAGAAGGTTTTCTTGTTTTGCATCCTATCAAAATGCTTGTGGGTACATAACAACCCTCTTCTCACACTTTAACACCCACCTCAAGCATTCTCTCACACATAAAAACACACTTTATTCTTGTGCTGATGGTGCACAGGGCATTCTGAGGAATGCAGTAAAGACCAAACATGACTTTGTTAGTCCTCACTCACACATATAAGGAAATATTCACACATACGCACACATGCCTGTTGGGATGAGGTGTAGGCCTCCCTTCAAATGTACTTCCTGTGGGGGGAAATCGTGTAAGTAGGTTCTTCATGCTTAACATAAGTTTGCTGTCATTTCTGATTCTTGCTGTCCATCTGGTTCCTCTCCACCTTGGTAAATAACTTGGTAAAGGTCTTTGATGCTCTCAGGTCTGCACAGGAGGGAAAAATGAAAGAGTTGTCACAAATTAACAGAAATGGCTTTTCCCTTCAAGGTTTCACACTGAATTCCAGTGTGAAGCAGTGCAATTGAGATTAATCTATCACTCAGTAGTCAAGAGCAGGCTGCCTATCATGATACCTGCAAACTAAAGAGATCTGAAAGCCATGGAAGAAAAACATTGCATTTACTCATTTTCTTCAGGGGAAAAACATCCCCCTCCCCACTTTTTCACATATCTACATCAAAAATGGGGGCTGCAGTGGCACAGTGGATTAAACTGTTAAGCTGCAAAACTTGTTAAGCCCATTTGTGGCCCCAGCTTCTGCCAACCTAGCGGCTAACAAATATGAGTAGGTCAATAGCTACCACTTCTGTGGGAAGGTAATGGTGTTCCATGCAGTCATGCTGGCCACATGACCTAGGAGGTGTCTACGGACAATGCCAGCTCTTAGAAATGGAGATGAGCACCACCCCCCAGAGTCAGAGTTGACTTAATGTCAAGTGGAAACTTTTACCTTTACTTTACATCAAAGATGTGATACCTTCATCCTATTTATTGGCAGAGCCAGCCCTATCTAGTAATTTAAAAGCAATAGCTTGAATGTAAAACATTAATTGGCTGTAGATGATGGCATTGTCACAAATCTGTCCTTTTGATGCACTTTATCTCATCCCTCAGTGAAGATTAACCCCATTTTCCCACTAGATACTCTACTATATCTATCTATCTATCTATCTATCTATCTATCTATCTATCTATCTATCTCACCCAGGGGTTTTATCATTTTATCTCTTGCATTTGGCCCAGCCTGCTGTGTTTAATTCCTTGTATCATTTTACATTGTGTGTTTATTTTGTTGTATTATTTTATTATTGTTTAGCATTCTATTTGATGTTATGCATTTTATTTGATGTTACTGTCTGTTGTATGTATTTATTTTGCCTTACTGTAATCTTTGGGTTTGGCCTCATGTTAGCTGCCCTGAGTCTCTTCAGGGAGATGGTGATAGGGTATAAATAAAGTTTATTATTATTTTATTTATTATTATTCTGGATTTCTCTGCTCTACTTGCCACAAATTTTGACAAAATTTCTGCAAACTTCATAGCAGTTTGTAAACAGAAGGGGAAAACCTTGGCTTGACAACTGCAGTCACTTAGAGCCAAAGTACTGCTAAGCAGAGCCTGGAAATGCACTTTTTGGACTACATCTCCCAGCATTCCTTAGCCAACATCCCCTGGAGTCATGCTGGCTTCAAGCTGCGGACCAAAACAATATTTTTTTCCAAACACAGTTGTAGGGACTTCTCAACAGCACTCTTAATGGAGCCTTTTAAGCCTGATGCATCAATAACATTTCCTTCCCAGCTACTTACTGATAATGAGTCCTGCCTGCTTGCTCCATGAACTTCAGCGGAGCCAACTCCTGGCTGAAGACCGCTGCCTTGTCCTCTCTGGGTAGGGTCGTCTTCCAGGCTCAGGATGCAGAAACTGATAGTCTTCTGCCAGGGCCACAGCCTCGTCTCCATTTTCAGGGTGGCGTTCCCGAACCCAGCGCTGGACATCCTCAGGGAGGAGGCTCAGGAATTGTTCAAGGACCAGCTGCTCCACAATCTCTTCCTTGCTGCGGGCTTCTGGCTTCAGCCACTGGAACAAGAGTTCCTGGAGTCGCTCATAAGCCACTTGTGGCCCTTCAGTCTCTTTGTATGCAAAGCCCCGGAAGCGTTTACGCTGATTTTCAGAGCCCAAATTGGGGAGACAAGGAACAGCATGCTCCACCTTGGCACATCCTCCACCTTGGCTGCTATGAGCCTGATGGGCTTCCCCAAAGAGATCTGGCAAGAGCATACCCCTTCTTGACTCCCTAGCGTCTTGGCAGACATCAGGCATTTCCTTAAAGATGTCACCATCATCCTCCATCATCCGCTTTGCTCCTTTCCCTTCTCCTATCGGGGGCACAGGAACTGGCACTGCTACCTTTGCAGGAGGAGGCACCAGGGAGGGATCCGTATTTGGTTCCTCTTCTTGTTTAACCTGCAAGCTTGTGGCCGGACACTGAGCTGGAGGCTGGGGTGGCATCTCTGAATGGCCAGCTTCTGCTCCTGAACATTCACCCACTGCCTCAGGCTCATCTCTAGCCAAGTCCTGATGCTCAGCCACAATGCTGCTACCTGCATCCTGTTCCTCCACAGGATCAGAGCAAGAAGCATCCAGGCCCTGCTCTTGCACCTTGGTTGCCATTCTTCACAACAAGATTGTTTTTCAACCTTCCAGCAACAATAGGAAATATGATGAACAGATGCCCCAAACAGATTCTGAGCTTTCTTGCTTCCGAGTAAACTCTGCAGAGGTGGGAGGAAAAGATGGGAGCTTTGAAAGAAAGACCGTTCAACATTCAGGTCTGAGAAAAGTTACTTTTTAAGATGATAACTTCCACAATTCACCGACACCATAACATTCTAAGGTGTGCTTAAGCCATCCCTCGGTACACTGTGTAATTTCAGAAGTTGCATGGTGGATCAGAGGAATAAATTAGCAAATGTGAACTTCTCAGGGTTTGCTTATGCACTAAATATTCAGATATGATTCTGGCAGTTTTTCCTTTCAGTTACAGCCCACAGTACCTTGTTGGCTGTCTCCAATCCAAGTACTGATCAGCACTGAACCTACAAAGTTTCAAGATTAGATAACATCTAGTGTCTTTAGGGGGGGAAATTCCACTGCATCTAATGTTTAAAAATGTCATATATAATATTTACTTTTTTCTGTAGCCTTAATTTACCTTCAGGTTGTCTGTTGGTTTGCTGTTGCCTCCCTCTGAAATACAGCCTAGACACTTGGTATTCCCATTAACCATATATGACCCTGCTTAATGTCCAAGATCAGATTGGATCTTATGCAGTCACAGCATTTAAAAATACTGAACATGATACCTTTCAGAGCCAACTCAGGTTAACATTAAAACACAAGACAGCAAACTGAAATCGAAGTACAAAAAAAGTCTCCTACAAATTTATTCAAATAATAATAATAATAATAAAAGATTAAATACTTGGCAGGTCATGTCAATTCACACAGAGACTGTACAAGAACAACAACAACAAAAAAGTACAGAATAATAAACCAAACCATATAACCTCTGAACAGAAACTTTCCTGCTTCTCAATGAAAAAAAACCCCAATGGAAGAAAAAAACAGCCCTCATTTCACAAGCCATTGGTTCATAATACTGCATCTAAACCATGAGCACCTTCCCCCAAAATGGAATTTCATACAAAAGTTCCAATGGTGCTTATTGCCTAAGGAGAAATATTAAATTTTGCTGCTTGTATTTATTATATTCTTAATCTCATCTAATCTGCCACAAGAGTTCATTGAGAGCAGTGGTTCTCAACCTGTGGGTTCCCAAGTGTTTTGGCCTACAACTCCCAGAAATTCCAGCAGTTTACTAACTGTTAGATTTCTGGGAATTGAAGGCCAAAACTCTGGGGACTCACAGGTTGAGAACCACTGATTTAGAGGTTAAATTCTATCTCTTGCTTCCTATACCAGATCTTTCTTCATATTTATTTATTTAGCACATTTATACCCATCCTTCTTGACCTCCAAGAAGGTACTCAGGACAGCTTCCAAACCGGCAACACTTTGATGCCAACACTGAATTTGATGAATTGATCTGCATATCTAAAATAAGATATCTTTTGAGCTCACACTGTTTCCGGGCACCTTTAAACCAGTTATGACCTTTAAAGTGGTTCAAGTCCAAGCTATTTGGCTGATCACGTCTCCTTGTACGAACCTGCCCGGGACCCGAGATCTTCAGAAGAGGTCCTTCTCTCGGTCCCACCTCCATCTCAAGCTCGATTGGTGGGAACAAGAGATCGGGCCTTCCTTCTCGGTGGTTGCCCCTCAACTTTGGAACTCCATGTCCAGGGAAGCCAGAATGCCCCCTCCCTGCTGTCATCCAGGTGGCAGGATAATTTTTTTATTCAGACGGGCTTTTAAAGAAGGTTTTAAAAATCGTCAGGGGTTAATGTAATTTTATATGTTTTAATCATGTTCAATATTGTTTTAATACTTGTATATTTGAATATTTTAAATTGTATTGCAATCCTTTTAGTTGTGAACTATTTTGAATTTCCATATGGTGAGAAAAAGCACGATATAAATAAACATAAACATAATAACATCATCAGTGTGACAAACCAAGGCTGCTTCATACCACCTTAACTATCATGGCCCAGTGCTATGGAATCATGGGAGTTGCAATCCATGAAACTGATACTGGAGCCTCAATCCATGGCCGATACTGAATGAGAGACTCCCTCCTGGGCACAAAGAAGACTGGGTGACTTGGAAGGCATTCAACAGACTGCCCTCTGGCACCATGAGATGCAGAGCTAATCTTAACGAGGCCATAAAGTGGAGTCCACAACATGCAAGTGTGCAGAAGAGGAAACCACAGCCCTGCCACATGCACAATTGAGGACCTTCTTATAGCAACACCAGAGGCAGTCCAAGTGGCCAGCTACTGTCAAAGGAGATTTATTATAATGCCAAGTTTTTTAACTTTGCATGTTTTAAATACATTACAACTGTACCCTCAAATCACTTCTGATAGATAAATAAATAGGAGTTGTAGTTTGGGGAAGTACCAGCACGATTTAGCAGGGAAGGTGAAAGCCCTTTTAAAAGTACAGCTCCCAGGATTCCATGGCTCTGAGCTATGGCAGTTAAAGTGATGTGAAACTGCATTAATTATGCAGTGTAAAGGCACCCAGAGTGCATTCTACTCATGTGAGTGTGTTCCTCTGTAACTTCTATATCTCAGGGCCCTTTCACACGGCCATCTAACCCAGAATATCAAGGCAGATAATCCACAATATACGCCAGGGGTCCACAAACTTTTTAAACAGAGGGCCAGGTCACAGTTCCTCAAACTGTTGTAGGGCCGGATTATAATTTGAAAAACAAATTAATGAATTCCTATGCTCGCTGGACATATCTTATTTGTAGTGTAAAAACACTTAAAAACAATACAATAATTAAAATGAAGAACAATTTAACAAATATAAACTTATTAGTATCTCAATGGGAAGTATGGGCCTGCTTTTGGCTCATGAGATAGGATTGTTGTCATTGTTGTTGTGTGCTGTCAAGTAGTTTCAGACTTAGGTTGACCCTGAGCGAGGGCCGGGTAAATGATCTTGGAGGGCCGCATCTGGCCCATGGGCCTTAGTTTGAGGACCCCTGATATACGCTTTGAACTACCTGCTCTGTGCTCCTGACTCTCAAAATACAGTATAACTGGTTGTAGATAAGATAGACTGTTTGGCCACGAGCTAGGCCTCTGGGGACCAGGCTTTGAAGCCCACTTGCCAAGCAAACCACCCGGAAGGCCTTGGGGGAGTCGCCCTCTCTCGGCCTTATGGGAAGGCCAAGGCAAACCTCCCCGCTGAACACCTCTTGCCAAGGAATCCCCTTGGTTGGCGACTCCAAGGCACACACCGCCGACCATTCTAGCTCAGGCCCCTCAAGCGCCTACCTGCGTCCTGCCCAGGCCGAATTCAAAGCCTCTGAACTAGCTCCGGAAGTTCCTAATCTACATCCGGGGTGGGGGAAGAGCGCGTCATCAACGTCCTGGTGTGTTGTGGGCGGGGCGAGGACCATAACAAGGCCAGCGGTCGAATCAGCGAACCAGGAAAGGCCATAGAGATATCATCCTGTATTGCAAGAGCAGACTTTCGGTACAATGTGAAGCCTCAACTGTAGAGGCTGACCGGTTTCGTCTTTTAGTTTTGAGTGGCTCCGCGGTGATTGAGCTCTATGGTCCAAAGGGCAAAGCGCAACTTCCTGTCTCTTGGAGCGAGAGATAGGGAAGCTGGGCGCACAAAGGGAGCCAGGCACCACGGAGGTAGCCATTTCATTCCTTGGAGAAGGTGCCTATCATTCAGGATTTACAGAAGTCCTTTACGTTCTTCCTCCCATTCTACTGCATGGTCCACTTTAAATCCTGCAGAATTCTGGGGCTTGTAGTTTAGTGAGGCTCAGGAGCAGTCTGGATGAGCAGTTTAAAGGCCCATCCCTGAACTATAAGTCCAAGAATTATGCAGGAGGCCTTGTTGTTGTTAATTCTAATCCGATCTAACTATATAAATAAAAATGTAATGCCCGTTTGTGGGATTGTTGTTGTTCATTCGTTCAGTCGTCTCCGACTCTTCGTGACCTCATGGACCAGCCCACGCCAGAGCTCCCTGTCGGCCGTCACCACCCCCAGCTCCTTCAAGGTCAGTCCAGTCACTTCAAGGATGCCATCCATCCATCTTGCCCTTGGTCGGCCCCGCTTCCTTTTTCCTTCCACTTTCCCCAGCATCATTGTCTTCTCTAGGCTTTGCTGTCTCCTCATGATGTGGCCAAAGTACTTCAACTTTGTCTCTAGTATCCTTCCCTCCAATGAGCAAGGGCTTTATTTCCTGGAGGATGGACTGGTTGGATCTTCTCGCAGTCCAAAGCACTCTCAGAACTTTCCTCCAACACCACAGCTCAAAAGCATCGATCTTCCTTCGCTCAGCCTTCCCTAAGGTCCAGCTCTCACATCCGTAGGTTACTACAGGGAATACCATGGCTTTGACTAGGCGGATCTTTGTTGCCAGTCTGATGTCTCTACTCTTTACTATTTTATCGAGACTGGACATTGCTCTCCTCCCAAGAAGTAAGCGTCTTCTGATTTCCTGGCCACAGTCTGCATCTGCAGTAATCTTTGCACCTAGAAATACAAAGTCTGTCACTGCCTCCACATTTTCTCCCTCTATTTCCCAGTTGTCAATCATTCTTGTTGCCATAATCTTGTTTTTTATGTTTAGCTGCAACCCAGCTTTTGCGCTTTCTTCTTTCACCTTGATTAGAAGGCTCCTCAGCTCCTCCTCGCTTTCGGCCATCAAAGTGGTGTCATCTGCATATCTGAGGTTGTTAATGTTTCTTCCAGCAATTTTCACCCCAGCTTTGCATTCATCAAGCCCCGCACATCGCATGATGTGTTCTGCATACAAGTTAAAAAGGTTGGGTGAGAGTATGCAACCTTGCCATATGCCTTTCCCAATCTTGAACCAGTCTGTTGTTCCGTGGTCAGTTCTGACTGTTGCTACTTGGTCCTTGTACAGATTCCTCAGGAGAGAGACAAGGTGGCTTGGATGCCCATCCCACCAAGAACTTGCCACAATTTATTATGATCCACACATTCAAAGGCTTTAGAATAGTCAATGAAGCAGAAGTAGATGTTTTTCTGAAACTCCCTGCCTTTCTAGAGGCATTCTCTCCTGATTTCGCCTGCATCTATTGCAAGCCTCCTCAGAGGTAGTCTGAGGATGCTTGCCATAGATGAAGGCGAAACGTCAGGAGAAATGCCTCTAGAACATGGCCCTATATTCCGAAAAAACCCACAAGACCTAGTGATTTAGAATAGTCAATGAAGCAGAAGTAATGTTTTTCTGAAACTCCCTGCCTTTCTCCATTATCCAGCGGATATTGGCAATCTGGTCTCTGGTTCCTCTGCCTTTTCTAAACCCAGCTTGAACATCTGGCAACTCTCGCTCCATGTATTGCTGGAGTCTTCCTTGCAGGATCTTGAGCATTACCTTACTGGCATGAGAAATAAGGGCCACTGTACGGAAGTTTGAGCAGTCTTTCGCATTTCCCTTTTTTGGTATGGGGATATAAGTTGATTTTTTTCCAGTCTGATGGCCATTCTTGTGTTTTCCATATTTGCTGGCATATGGCATGCATCACCTTGACAGCATCATCTTTTAAGATTTTAAACAGTTCAGCTGGGATCCCGTCGTCTCCTGCTGCCTTGTTGTTAGCAATGCTTCTTAAGGCCCATTCAACCTCACTCCTCAGGATGTCTGGTTCTAATTCATTCACCACACCGTCAAAACTATCCTCGATTTTATTATCCTTCCTATACAGATCTTCTGTATAGTCTCACCACCTTCTCTTGATCTCTTCAGCTTCTGTTAGGTCCCTGCGAAAAGGCCTTACTGGTACATTATTTAAACTGTTATGTTTATTCATATCATTATCTGATCACCATGCTCAATATATCCCATATGCATGGGGGTATTGGGGTAAATACAAAAGGTTTGCTAGGGTAGACCCTCTTTCACTCAGACTCAGCCCCCCCCCCCCCGAATCAAAATCCTGGCTACGGGCCTGTGCAGGAAGCTTTGTTGTTGTTCATTCTAATCCAATCTATATAAATAAAAATGTTTGTTTGGTGGATTAACATAACTCAAAAAGCACTGGACAAATTGACACCAAATTTGGACACAATACACCTATCAGGCCAACAAGTGACCATCACTCATAAAAACACTGAAAAACAGCAGAAGAGACTTAAAAATAATACAACACATGCACATAACCACATTGTTCCCATGACATTAAGTCCAGTCATGTCTGACTCAGGGTTGGTGGGGGGTGGTGGTGGTGCTCATCTCCATTTCTAAGCCCAAGAGCCGGCGTTCATGGACACCTCCAAGGTCATGTGGCCGCATGACTGCATGGAGCACCGTTGCCTTCCCGTGGGAGCAGCACCTATTGATCTACTCACATTTGCATGTTTTTTCATTGCTAGGTTGACAGAAGCTGGGGCTAACAGCAGGAGCTCATGCCGCTCCCCGGATTCAAACCTGCTACCTTTCGGTTGGCAAGTTTAACAGCTCAGCGGTTTAACCCAAATTTGGACACAAGACAGCTATCAGACCAACGAGTGATCATCACTCATACAAACACTGAAAAACACAGCAGAGGGGACTTAAAAAGGCAAAAAAAAATGCATTACAACACATGCGCAAAACCACATATATACACAAACACACATATATACACACATGCACAAATACACACACACACACATATATATATAACATATATATAATATGTGCATATATACGCACACAACAGAAATACTCAGAAAGGGGGAAGGAAAGAAAGAAAGGTAGAGAAGGAGAGAAGGGAATAAAAAATGAAAGAAGGAAAGAGAGGGAAGGAAGGAGAGAAGGAACAAAAGTGAGAAAGAGGGAGGGAAGGAATGAGAGGGAGAAGGAAGGATGGAACCAAAGAGCAAAGAGAGGGAGGAAAGAAACAGGTAGAGAAGGAAGAAAGAAGAAGGAAAAGAAAAAGAGGGAAGGAAGGAAAGAGGGAGGGAAGGAGAGAAAGAGCAAGGGAAGGTGGGCCACAGCAATGCGTGGCGGGTACAGCTAGTCTATATAAATAAAAATGTAATGTTCGTTTGTGGGATTAACAGAACTCAAAAACCACTGGACAAATTGACACCAAATTTGGCCACAAGACACCTACTAACCCAAGGAGTGACCATCACTCATAACCTCCCCTAAAAAGTGGAAAGGACTTAAAACTCCCAAAAAGCTAAATGATGAAAAGCTAAATGGCAATATAGAAAAAAAGGGAAGGGAGAGAAGGAAGGAAGAGGAGAAAAAAAAGGAAGGAAGGAGGGAGGGAAAGAAAGAAGGAAAGAGAGAAGGAAGTGTGGAAGGAAAGAGCTAAGGAAGGAAGGAAAGGTAGAGAAATGAGAGAAGGAAAAAAAGGGAAGAAAGGAAAGAGGGTGCAAAGGAAGGAGAAAAAGAGGGAGGGAAGGAAAGAGAAGGAAGGATGGAAGCAAAAAGCGAAGGAAGAAAGAAAAGAATTAGAGAAGGAAGAAAGGAGAGAAAGAGGGGTGGAAGGGAATAAGGAACGAGAGAAAGCAAGATGGAAACAAAAAGTGAAGGAAGCAAGGAAAGAGGTAGAGAAGGAAGAAAGGAAAGAAGAAAAGGGAAAGAAGGAAAGAAAGGGAGGGAAGGTTGGCCACAGCAATGTGTGGCGGGTACAGCTGGTCTAATATATATGCCTTTATTGGCATATATATAGCAAAACAGTATAAAATACAGTATAAATGATAGAAAAGAGAACTTCGCTTTCGCTGCACGTTCAGTTTACAGACTTGGTTCAGTAATCTTGCCACTCAAAGGCAACGGTTAAAATCTTGGCAGTTTAAAAGCATAATTACTTTGTCTGGATCAGTATGGTTTTTCAAACAATCTAAAACTTGTAATAGTAAGCTAGATATTATTTGTGTTGTTTATTCATTCAGTCACTTCCAAGTCTTTCTGACCTCATGAACCAGCCCACGCCAGAGTTCCCTGTTGGCCGTGGCCACTCCCAGCTCCTTCAAAGTAAAGCCAGTCACTTCAAGGATACCATCCATCAATCTTGCCCTTGGTCGGCCCCTCTTCCTTTCTCCTTCCATTTTCCCCAGCATCATTATCTTCTCCAAGCTTTCCTGTCATCTCATTATGTGGCCAAAGTACTTCATCTTTGCCTCTAATATCCTTCCCTCCAGTGAGCAGTCGGGCTTTATTTCCTGGAGTGTGGACTGGTTGGATCTTCTCACAGTCCAAGGCACTCTCAGAATGTTCCTCCAATACAACAGTTCAAGAGCGTCTGTCTTCCTTGGCTCAGCCTTTCTTATGGTCCAGCTGTCACACCCATAGGTTACTACGAGGAATACCATTGCTTTAACTAAGGAGGCTGTGCAGGTGCTTGGCCACTGTGTCGATCTGGATGAGGGCGAACAGATTGAAACTAAATCCAGACAAGACAGAGGTACTGCTGGTCAGTCGAAAGACTGAACAGGGATTGGGGTTACAGCCTGTGTTAGATGGGGTTACACTCCCCATGAAGACATAGATTCGCAGTTTGGACTCATCACAGCCTGGAACCACAGGTCTCAGCGGTAACCGGGAGATCTTTTGCACAATTAAAACTTGTGCACCAGCTGCGCCCATTCCTTGAAAAGTTTGACTTAGCCACAGTGGTCCATCCTCTTGTTACATCCTAAGTAGGCTACTGCAACACACTCTACGTGGGGCTGCCTTTGAAGACTGCCCAGAAGCTTCAACTAGTCCAACTGTTGGCAGCCAGGTTGCTCACCGGAGCGACATACAGGGAACATACAACTCCTTTGTTACACCAACTCCACTGGCTACCGATCAGCTTCCGAGCACAATTCAAAATGCTGGTTTTAATCTTTAAAGCCCTAAATGGTTCTGGCCCAGACTACCTGTCCGAACGTATCTCCTGCCACGAACCATCACGAAGTTTAAGATCTTCAGGAGAGGCCATGCTCTCAATCCCACCACTATTGCAAACACGGTTGATGGGGACAAGAGACAGGGCCTTCTCAGTAGTGGCGCCCCGCCTATGGAACGCCCTCCCTAGAGATATCAGATTGACCACCTCCCTCTTGTCCTTTAGAAGGAAAATCAAGACCTGGTTATGGGACCAAGCATTTGATCAGTGAGCAGCAAGTGGAAGAAGATCACATAACTTATGGCAATGAATTGACCTGGACTGGTTTTTGGATTTCGATTTTAATGGATGTGTTTTAATTAGTTTTAATTGTTGTTTTAATTTTTAATATTTTGATTGTACTGTGGTTATTTTTATGATGCTGGCATCATATGATGCTTTTGTTAGGCCGCCCTGAGTCCCCCTTCAGGGGGAGAATGGCGGGGTATAAATATAGGAAATAAATAAATAAATATGCAGATCTTGGTTGCCACTGTGATGTCTCTACTCTTCACTATTTAATTGAGATTGGCACCTACTCTTCTCCCAAGAAATAAATGTATTCTGATGTTCCTGGCTGTAGTCTGTGTCTGCCGTAATCTTCACACCTAGAAATACAAAGTCTGTCACTGCCTCCACGTTTTTCCCCTCTATTTGCCAGTTAGCAATCAGTCTAGTCAGTTAGTTGCCAGCTGGCGGTTGGAAGTGGTGTAAAGCGCCTCTTTGGGAGCTGGCCCAAGGGCAATGGTAAGGTTCGGAGCAGCAAGCCACCACCGGTCGCAGAGAGCTGGTAGCAAGGTCTCAAGCAGTCAGAACGACCAGAATGGCCACATGCTGGTTGGTGGTGGTGGTGGTGGTGGTGGGGGTTCTCTGGAGGCAGCTCAGCTGGCAGTATCCAGGCAACAAGGAGCGCAGGCAGCAGCAAGGTCAGCAGACAAATAAGCAGCACTGCTGGGGCAGAGATAGAAAAACGCCAGACTTGTTTGGAAGCAGCAGCCATGTGGTTCAGGTTGCACTGGTCTCAATATAAAGCGAGGGAGCTGTGGTTCCGGAGCAAACCACCAAAGACCCCAGCAGTGAGGCGGCAATCATGTACACAGTACACAAAATCATTCCCAGTAGCTTTATTTAGACCCAAGCGGGAAAGGGAAGAAACAGCTACTACTGTATAAAAAACAAACAAAATGTAGGGTTGGTTTAAAAATACAAGGTAATAATCAACATTTCTCATACATTGGGCAAAAGAGCATCCGCTCCGGAGTCCATTGGAATCTGAACAATTGACATGATGCACTATCAGGATGGGGAGGGGATCAACGTAGCAAGGGTAAGTTGTAAGTCTCAAACAACTAGGAACTGAGAGCAGTTTCCTTCTTTTAAAAATTAAGTCCTCATCCTAGTGTTGTCGATATTGCTGCTGAATTTATTGATGCTGGTCTATGTTCAGCCTGTGTGATGTCTCAGAAGTGCTAAAGAGAGGACAAAAAAATTAGTAAACAAAAGGATTATAAATATTTTTTGCTAATTATGGGCTCTTGTTTACAGTATCTATTAGAAATACATACGGATATTTGGATCTACAAAGAATGTAAATGAGATATGCAGCAGCTCAGAATGGAAGTCAAGGTACCTTTTTTCCTTTTTTTTCTTTCTTTTTTTCTCTCTTCCCTCTATGTTTCCTACTTTGTTATCTCCCGATTGTTCTCCCACTTTCCATGTATAATAACAAAACATTTTCCCCCTTTTTTGGAATAATAAAATCTATTTTTTAAAAATTAGTAAACATGCAAGAATTTTGTATATCCTTTGTTCTATTTAGGGAGTGAAGACGAAATAAATAAATAAAAGGAAACACAGTTAAAATGTTTTCTAGATGCAAACATCCTTTCCAGAAATTCTCTACTGTTTAAATAGGTTCCTTCAGTTCCACATAAGTAATCAACAGCAAGTATTCTGTGATTTGTCCCATAAAATCATGCTGGCTTGGAATGAGATGCAGTGAGACTTTGTTCATACATTCCCTCCACTTTCCTTCTCTGGTGCAGCTGTGGGAAAGAGTTCAGAAGCATTTCCTTCGACTTTTGCTTTCATGCAGCTTGTTGGTTTCACACTGGGTTGTTTCTCACAAACCACAGTTAAAGTTAACCGCAACAGATGGTTTAGCATGTTGTTTAAACACAGCCAGTTTTCTCACCTGCAAACTGGAATATTTTCTTGGGAATCCAACTTTATCCTGGACTTGTTCCCAAAAGAAATGTCTTCCTATACCCACTGCAGAAGCCAAACAGTTTAAATAGCCCAATAGTGCTTATTAATTATAGTAAAGATCCAGAGCAGTGGTTCCCAACCTTTAGGCCTCCAGGTGTTTTGGACTTCAACTCCCAGAATTCCCAGCCAGCTTACCAGCTGTGAGGAACTGTGGGAGCCGAAGTCCAAAACACCTGAAGACCCAAAGGTTGGGAACCACTGATCTAGAGCCTTCGTCCTCAACTATTGATAACATGTGGGCTTCCAGAAGTTGGACTACAACTATCATCTACCCAGCATAGCCAACTGTGAAGGATACAGGGACTTATCATAGAATCATAGAGTTGGAAGAGACCTCATGGGCCATCCAGTCCAACCCCCTGCCAAGAAGCAGGAATATTGCATTCAAATCACCCCTGACAGATGGCCATCCAGCCTCTGTTTAAAAGCTTCCAAAGAAGGAGCCTCCACCACACTCTGGGGCAGAGATTCCACTGCTGAACAGCTCTCACAGTCAGGAAGTTCTTCCTCATGTTCAGATGGAATCTCCTTTCTTGTAGTTTGAAGCCATTGTTCCGTCCTAGTCTCCAGGGAAGCAGAAAACAAGCTTGCTCCCTCCTCCCTGTGGCTTCCTCTCACATATTTATACATGCCTAAATATCTCCCCTTAGCCTTCTCTTCTTCAGGCTAAACATGCCCAGCTCCTTAAGCCGCTCCTCATAGGGCTTGTTCTTCAGACCTTTGATCATTTTAGTCGCCCTCCTCTGGACACATTCCAGTTTGTCAATATCTCTCTTGAATTGTGGTGCCCAGAATTGGACACAATATTCCGACTTGTAATGCAACAATATCAAGATGACCACAAGCTCCTAATCACTATGAGAACCCAAGAGAAAACTGGGTTCGTTATCAGGTCATTCACAAGGTCTGAAAAATTCCACACTACCAGCTCTTATATAGACAGCTTCTCTGGAACGAGGCAGAAGCTGCAGATCCTGTCACTAAAAGTGGCAAACCAAGTATATATCCTTAATTTTGTACTCTCTCCTTTTGCCAGCCTGCAATGTGAAGAAACATGACAATATTCCTGTTTTTGAAAAAGGAAAAGTCATAGCTGAATAACACAGAGGGAACAGTTTTCTTTATGCACAGGGGTAGAGAAAAAATAAGTACTTACATTTCTGTCTCGCCATCCTGGCCTACTGGGAATTTCAGTGACATTCTGGGACGCACTAGTGTTGGGCAGGGATTTCCTGCTGCTGAGAATGTGCACAACAGTACCAAGGGCTTCTGACAAATCTTGTAAAGCTGTTCCACTCAGCCCATACAGTGTGGAAGCTACATAAATGTCAAAACAAACTTATTTAGGGTGCTGCTCAAATACTCAGATTCTTACATCCTGCCATCTTAATTAAGTTACTAATCTTTGTATGATCCTTACATTTACCCCAGCTCCCACATACTTCCCTTTATATTGTTGCAGTAGGTTTTGTTTTTTTGAGTCACTGTGATTTAAGTTTGGCAGTAAGACTCTGGACACCAGGTTTTGAATCACCCAATCAGCCATAGGAACCCACAGAGGCCCCTTCTATACTGCCATAAGGTAAAGTTTTCCCCTTGACATTAAGTCTAGTTGTGTCCGACTCTGGGGGGTGGTGCTCCTCTCCATTTCTAAGCCAAAGAAGCAGTGTTGTCCATAGACACCTGCTAGGTCATGTGGCCAGCATGACTGCATGGAGTGCTGCTACCTTCTCACCAAAGCAGTACCTATTGATCTCTACTCACATTTGCATGTTTTTTTGAACAGCTAGGTTGGCAGAAGCTGGGGCTAACAGCAGGAGCTCACCCCATCCACAGATTCAAACTATCGGCCAGCAAATTCTGCAGCTTAGCAGTTTAACCCACTATGCCACCAGGGCATATAGTTCAGGGCCACATAACCCAGATTATTAAATCAGATAACCCACATTATCTGCTTTGAACTGGATTATATGAGTCTACACTGCCATATAATCAAGTTCAAAGCAGATCATCTGGATTTTATTTGGCAGTGCAGAAGGGGCCAGAGTGATCTTCGGCAAGTAACAATCTTTCAGCCTCAGAGGATGGCAAAGGCCTTAACACTGCCTAAACAATAACTGGTGTTATAGACTAAATTTGTAACTCTCTAGCTCTATTTATTATTTATGTATTTATTTTCTATATTTATACCCCGTCCTTCTCACCCTGAAGGTGAGTTCTACACAGACTATGGACTTGTCACATCATTCCACAATTCTATTTTGGTTATTGGCTTGTGTTCATATTTTTCCTGCCTCTTGTACTATGCTGCTTTCTGCATTTAGAACAGTTTGTTTATCTTTGCCTCCCATCTGCCTATTTTCTTTCACATCCTTGTTTAGGACCCACATCTTTGCAAAGCTTTTTTCAAATCATCTCAGTGATCTCACTCATCTTTGATTGTTCTTATTTTACATTAGATCTCAAGCTGAGTCACTTAGCATTGCCATTGTTCACATGGCAAATACCTCACAATGTTTTAGGATTTTTTTTTTCCGTGTCAGGACCGACTTGAGAAACTGCAAGTCACTTCTGGTGTGAGAGAATTGGCCGTCTGCAACAAAAGGAGTTTAAATTGTGACTATTATATGATGAATACAGTAGTTACCTTGCGTTCGTCTGAGCTCTTCACGTACAGTATCCAGCTCAGCCTTCAACATGGTGCATCTGGCACAAGATGGTAGCATGCTGGGATCAGATGGGCCATCATGTGTTATGTCACCACTGCCATTTCCACTCCAGGGAGAATCCAGTAAAATGTCAATGCTGCCACTGAGTGATGGTCCATCAACCTCAGGAGACATGTGGCCATCATTTCCACGTTGGGAGCCAACCTTGTCAAAAACCAACCGAGAAGGCCCAAGCTCAGCTGGTCCCTTCTGCTTGTTCAATGGCTTAGGCAAGAGTATTCCATTCAGAGCTTCTGAAACTCTGCCACTTCCATCTATTTTGGCTCCTCCTTCAATCTGATTCTCTCCAGTGACAGAAGCATGACATCCTGGAACAGATCTCCCCCGAGCTTTTGCCTTCCCACCTTGCTTTCCTGGCACATAACTTGGCATTTGCTTTATTTTTTCACCCGCATCCATTGTCTCCGGCCCCTCTATGTTATTAATCAGCTTCCTTTGCTTTGTCGTTGCCTCTTCGTGTTCTTCCTCCTGTTTGGATACAATCCGTTCCCTTGGACCTGGCTTTGGCCTCTTTCTCAGCCGAAGGTGAGTTTCTGTACCTGAAGATGGAGAATAAGTTTATCTTGAGAGACCTGCCAAGATACAAAAATAACAGATGGGCATGTAGTTAAGGCCCTAAGGCTAGGAATCAGAAGTTCTGGGTCCCTGGCTCACAGATACAGCACAACGCCACCCTCGACATTAAGTCTAGTGGTGTCTGACTCTGAGGGGTGGTGCTCTTCTCCACTTCTAAGCCGAAGAGCCAGCGTTGTCCATAGACACCTCCAAGGTCATGTGGCCGGCATGACTGCCAGAGTGGTACTTATTGATCTACTCACATTTGCATGTTTTCAAACTGCTAGGTTGGCAAAAGCTCGTGCTAACAGCGGGAGCTCACCCTGCTCCCCAGAATAAAACCACCAACCTTTTGGTCAGCAAGTTCAGCAGCTTAGCAGTTTAACCTGCTGCACCACCAGGGCTCCACTTTCTTACCTACCACCTTTTTGAAGATACAAATTGAGCATAAAAGATGTTTAATGATCTTTTTTCATCTTAAAATTGTAAAAAAAAAAAATACATTATAGCCCTCTTAATATGTGCTTTCTATGCTCTGATCCCACAATAGTTCCAGTCATCCCAGTGTGAAGAGGACAATATAAAATAATTTGAGGCTCCATATAAAATCATTTCTCATTTCCTAAACAGACATGATTGGCCGAACCACCAACATCCCAGTGGCAGTTAATGAAACAGGCCCAACCTATGAAAGATTATACTACAAACATCATCCTCTCATTCTCAGAGATACAAGATCCCTTTGCATTCATGTCCATAATAGAGGTAAAGGTTTCCCCCTGACATTAAGTCTAGTCATGTCTGACTCTGGGGTGTGGTGCTCATCTCCATTTCTAAGCCAAAGAGCTGGCGTTGTCCGTAGACACCTCCAAGGTCATGTGGCCGGCATGACTGCATGGAGCGCCGTTACCTTCCCGCCGGAGCGGTACCTATTGACCTACTCACATTGCATGTTTTTGAACTGCTAGGTTGGCAGAAGCTGGGACTAACAGCGGCAGCTCACCCCGCTCCATGGATTGGAACCTGCAACCTTTCAGTCAACAAGCTTAGCAGCTCAGTGGTTTAACCCACTGTGCCACCGTGGGCTCCATGTCCATATTCACCTGAGAAATTAGTCCCTCATAGTATGAAGAGCACAAAGGAGATAATGGTATCATATAATTCAATTTATAGACTGTATGGCTTGAAGATAAAACCAGACCTGAGTAGATGAAAAACTGAAGTTCATGGGAATAATTGCATCTGTTTTCCAAATGAAGACTACAGCAAGTGAACCTGAAAAGACCAAGGATGAGGTCTCATCTATCACATTAAACCCTTAACGCAGTCGAACAAACAAATCCTTACCATGAGAGTCAACCCTCCTAGGCTTCTCTTGATTGTCTTTGATGCAGGATTGTCTCTGATTCTCATCTAGTTCTTCATGGGAGGGATCTGTTACTATGTCATCAGATGCCATTCGTGTCTAGAACCATAAGAACAACACACCTGTATTCAGTGCTTGCAGCTCCCCTTTTCAGCAGAAATGGGTGAAGAGCAGATCAAATTGTCAGAAATATTGAAAATTAGCTAGGTATTTTTAATTACAAAAATGTGAGTCAAGAACTGAAAATTAAATGAATGCAATGATTCAGCAAAAAAGAAAAAACTGTTCTATATAAACAGGTGTTCCTATAGCTTAGTAACCATCAGTTTGAGGTAAACCTCAGTGGGAGAATAGATCTCCGTGGGAGAAAGGCCTCAGAGTGTTAGGTAGGCCTCATTATAAGAAGGCCTCATGTGTGAAGCTCCACTGTGAAGGTTGAACTTTGTGTTATGGAAACCTTGTTTTTGTAAATAGTGCAACCATATTATTTTGCTCTAAAGAAAAGCCTCCTATGGAAGAGATAACATTGGTCTGTGAGTTGTTGTTTCTTTATCACTTTGGGTTACTGGTACTGGGTCACGCTGCTGCTAATAAGTTACTCTGCTGTGCATTTATGAAGAGAGTCTTTTGTTAAGAAACCCAGTCGCCCAACACAAATGTGGTTGGACTGCAACTCCTAGCACTCCTCACAAATGGTTATTCTGGTTAGGGGTGATGAAAGCTTCTAACCGACAACACCTGGAGGGCTGCACTTTGCTCACCCCTTCTGCATGCATCAGAAATGCAGAAGATGTGATCCAAACCTATTTTTTGTCATTAGGGATCAGAAATTCCAAATCAGCTCATTATAAGTGACCTGGAAAGACCCCTTTGAATCTTTTAACAAGAATACAAGAAAGTGCATCTATACTAGTGGTTCCCAACCTGTAGGTCCCCAGGTGTTTTGGCCTACAACTCCCAGAAATCCCAGCCAGTTTACCAGCTCTTAGTTGATAAATTGGGAGTTGAAGGCCTAAACATCTGGGGACCTACAGACTGAGAGCCACTGGTTCATTTCCAAGCACAATTCAACGTGCTAGTCCTGACCTATAAAGCTCTATATGGTTCCAGCCCAGCTTACCTGTCCAAACGCATCTCCCTCTACGTCCCGCCTCGCAGTTTAAGAGCGTCCAGGGAAGCCCTGCTCTTGGTCTCACCAGCGTCACAAGTGCGCTTGGCAGGGATGAGGGACAGGGCCTTCTCGGCAGTGGCCCCACGCCTATGGAACTCACTCCCCAGCGAGATCAGGTCGGCGTCTTCCCTCCTTCCTTTTAGGAAGAAGGTTAAATCATGGTTCTGGGACCAGGCCTTTGGACAGCAAGCATGACAGCACTTTGGATCAGACTGGAATTGGCTATATGAATTGTTGACAATGTTTCAATGGGATATTAATCTGTTTTACCTTGATGTTTTATTCACTGTTTTAAATTGATGTTTTATTTGTTATAGTGTTTTATCTTGTGGCATCGAATTGCTACTGGTGTAAGCCGCCCTGAGTGCCCCCTCAGGGATTGAGAAGGACAGGTTAGAATGTTTGAAATAAATAAATAAATAAATATGCAGTTTGTCACCACTTTAACGGCCATGGATCAATGCTATGGAATCTTGGCAGTTGTAGTTGGGTGAAAATACTTGCACTCTTTGGCAGAGAAGGCTAAAGACTATAAAACTACAATTCCCATGATTCCATAGCATTGAGCCATGGCAGTTAACGTGGTATTAAACTGCATTAATTCTGCAGTGTAAATACACCTAGAGTATTGTCGAAGGCTTTCATGGCTGGAATCACTGGGTTGTTGTAGGTTTTTTTGGGCTATATGGCCATGTTCTAGAGGCATTCTCTCCTGACGTTTCACCTGCATCTATGGCAAGCATCCTCAGAGGTAGTGAGGTCTGTTGGAACTAGGAAATGGGTTTATATATCTGTGGAATGACCAGGGTGGGACAAAGAACTCTTGTCTGCTGGAGCTAGGTGTGAATGTTTCAACTGACCACCTTGATTAGCATGTGATGGCCTGGCAGTGCCTGGGGCAATCTTTTGTTGAGAGGTGATTAGATGTCGTATATTCTACAATGCTTCTGATTTCTAAGATTTCATCTGGAGTGTTTTGGTCAAACAGAAAGATTTCCGGTTTCATATTTCCTCCCACCTACTTCCAGACAAATTCCTTTGACAGTGATCTTACCCGATCCCGTTGCCTCTTTGACTCAAAGTGAAGCTGGAACCTTTCTGCTAGAGCCACAGCCTCCTTGCCATTTTCCGGCTGACATTCACGAACCAAGGTCTGAATCTCCTCCGGGAGAATGTTCAAAAACTGCTCCACAACCAGAAGTTCCATGATCTGCTCTTTGGTATGAACCTCTGGCCGTAGCCATTGGTGGGAAAGGCGCCACAAGCCCCTGTAGACCTCTTGAGGTCCCTCTGCATCCTGGTAGCGGAACTGCCTGAAACTGTGGCGCTGGGTCTCTAAGTCTGTGTCTGTTTCTAATGCTTTAGTGCAAGTGCTGCCACAGAGTTGCTGGGCTTTGCTGTGAAGTTGGTCTTTCTTTTCCAGCACTGGATTTTGGTAAGACTCATGTAATGGATTCATAACAGAGAGATGTGCCTCTGGATTATCACTTTTCCCAATTGTTCCTATGTGCCCTGCACCAGGAAACTGCCTCGAGCCTGTTGGCAATTCTTGGCATTGGTCTCCAGGAGACTGCTGAGACAGTAGCCACCTCAGTATCTCTTCAGCAGTCCAGTACTGCACGTCGGGGGGCACCTTCACTGTTCCTCCTAGTGCTTCCTTCACTGCAAGTCTAGTCAAGGCCTTCCCTGATCCTTCAGCTTGCACTATCTGTTCTAGTAAGGCCTGTAGCTGTGAGCCAGGACCTGGAGTTGTTGTTGTTCCTGCTCCAGCCTTTGCAGGCACCTGGTAGGTTTGCAGAACATTGGTGCAGGCAGTAGAGGTTGGACTGGGAGGAGGTCGCTGAGTGAGGGCTTGGATAAGCTCAGTTTGTTTCTGGAAAAGCTTCTCAAAGAGCTGGGCTTGGAACTCTCTATCCTCACGGCGCATGTCTTTATCGTGCTGAATGAACTCTGCTAAACTTTGCTTCTCCTCTGCCTGACTAGCAACCTGTCTCTGCATTTTCTGCAGCTCCAGCTGATGTGAATGGCCGTATTTCTGGGGCTGTCCCCTTTGGTAGCTGGACTGCCCATCCCCCTGAGCTTTTTGCTTCCGCGTTCGAAGATGGGGGCGTTGATCAAGCATAGAGATGAGATGTCTTGGTGCAGGTTCTATCACTATCGGAGAGGAGGCATCTATAAGGAAGGCAATGAAAACACAGTGAATAGTCAGAATAAGGTAAGTGTTGGTACACAAAAGGTATCAAATAAGAACTCAGCAGACAAGTTGGATCTAATTTGTGTGTGTGTGTGTGTGTGTCAGGAGCATCTTACCGGGACTGTGGCGCAGCTGGCCGGGAGTCAGCTGCATTAAGATCACTCCTGACCAAAAGGTCATGAGTTCGAAGCCAGCCAGGGTCGGAGTGAGCTCCCGACCAAAACTGTGTAGCTTGTTGTCAACCTTTGCAGCCCGAAAGACAGTTGCATCTGTCAAGTAGGAAAAATTAGGTACCACTCTGTGGGGAGGCTAATTTAACTGATTTATGAGGCCATAAAATCTCCAGGAAGTATGCAAAGAATGAGGAAGCGACAGCTCCCCTGGTGGCCAGAAGCTGGAATGTTAAATAGCCTCTGAGTGTCTGTCTATATATGTTCTGTGTCTATGGCATTGAATTTTTGCCATGTATATGCATTGTAATCCGCCCTGAGACCCCTGCGGGGTGAGAAGGGCGGAATATAAATACTGTAAATAAGTACATCTTACAATGGAAGAAATATGGTATTTATAAAGTTCAGAAGGCAAACAGATCAATGAAGGATTTTACATAACAGTACCTAAAGATGACTTTTTTAATGTCAGGAGCGACTTCAGAAACTGCAAGTCTTTCTGGTATGAGAGAATTGGCCGTCTGCAAGAACATTACCCAAGGGACGTCTGGATGTTTTACCATCCTGTGGGAGGCTTCTCTCATGTCACCACATGAGAAGCTGGATCTGACATACGAGAGCTGACCCCGCTCCCCGGATTTGAACCATCAATCTTTCGGTCAGCAGTCCTGCCGACACAAGGGTTTAACCCATTGCGCCACTGGGGCTCCTAGTCTGATCTATATGGACTGACAATTGACTCAGACTTCAGGAAAAGCAACCTGGTATGTTCCTCAAGAATTAAAATCACATCAGAATTCAAGTAAGAGAGGATACTGGACTGTTTTTTTTGCTGCAATTATATATTAGTATATATTGGGCAGGGCTGATTTTGTCTTTAGAATTAATTTTATAAGGTATATTCATGTTGTTGATTTCATCTGCATAGCCAAGAAAGTCAAAAAGTAGATCAAAATATATGCTAGATTATCATCCCTCAGTGGCATAGTGGGTTAAACTGCTGAGTTACTGAACTCTTGCTGATTGAAAGGTTGGCGGTTCGAATCCAGGGAGTGGGTGAGCTTCCGCTTTTAGCCCCAGCTTCTGCCAACCTAGCAGTTCAAAAGCATGCAAATGTGAATAGATCAATAGGTACTACTCCAATGAGAATGTAACAGTGCTGCAGTCATGCTGGCCACATGACCTTGGAGGCATCTAAGGACAACACCGGCTCTTCGGCTTAGAAATAGAAATGAGCACCACCCCCAGAGTCGGACTCAACTAGACTTAATGTCAAGGGAAAACATTTATCTTCTCCATCAGGTGATTTGCAAAAGGTCAGTTGGAGGGATCTAATTCCCTGTTGTTTAAAAATAGTAAAGTTTTTGGGTGGATATGTATTGTTCTAAATCAGAATGCTCAAGCAAGGAAGTGAGTGGGTGGGCTTCACAATTCGATTTTTGAGCAAAGGATTAAAGGCTGCTGTTGTATAGAAGATGCCTTCTTCTTTGGGTAGAATTTTTTTTCAAGCAAGGCCAACATGTTAGGACTGTGATTATCAGACAATGAAAACAGATTTTGTGAAAGGCATTAAGGATTTGGACAAAAGGATTGAGGTTGGGACAAAAATATCTGACCTTCAAGATATTTAGGGAGTTTTCTCAGCAGACCTGGGGAGGATCCAGTGCTTGAGATATATATGGTAACTGAAATATTGGGAAATGCAGCTCGGGAGCTTTGAAAATGTTCAAACACAACAATTATTTCAAAATGAGAAGAACTCAGTACATCAGCCCTTCTGATCTTTCTTTCAGCAGTGGTTCTGTTGACCCAGGTAAAGGTAAAGGTTTCTCCTTGACATTAAGTCTAGGCGAATCCGACTTTGGGAGTGGTGCTCATCTCCATTTCTAAGCCGAAGAGCTGGTGTTGTCCGTAGACACCTCCAAGATCATGTGGCTGGCATAACTGCATGGAGTGCCATTACCTTCCTGCCATGGCGGTACCTTTTGATCTACTCACATTTGCATGTTTTCGAACTGCTAGGTTGGTGGAAGCTGGGGCTAACAGTGGGAGCTCACCCTGCTCCCTAGATTTGAACTGCCAACCTTTTGGTCAGCAAGCTCAGCAGCAGCTCAGCAGTTTAACCTGCTGCACCACCAAGGGGTCCTGTTGACATAAACGTAGGCAAAATGAAGAAGGGTGCTTACCAAGCTCAGGTGATATTTCATCTTCTGATTCCTCTTCCTTCACCTGAACTGGAATGACTTGGATCTCACTAAAGGCATCCTGAGACTCTGCCTGGACGAAGCTGAATTCATCAGTCCCTTGACTTTCAGAGGCAGCAGTCGGTGGTAACCAGTGCCCAGAAGCTTGAGGACCCCAACGCTCAGAGATGCTGGACTGGGCTCCCCAGGGCTCAGATAGAGAGAGGACTTCCTGTCTGTCTGCACTGATGCTGGACCCCTCACCGACCTCTGAAGGAAAACCTGGCCTGCAATTTATATACTGTGTCATAATCTGGTCAATCTCATCATAGAATGGACACTTGATGGGTGGCCGCCCCACTAAGTTATTTTCTTTAGCTTTGCGATAGGCCACTTTCAGGCCTTTCATTTTCTCTCGGCACTGGTCCCCAGTTCGATAAATGCCCATTTCCGCAAGGCGTTGAGAAATGCCATCATAGACAGCACGGTTTCTCCCATGAGAGCTCAGATCATGAGTGACCGCTGCCTCAGTCCAGAGGGCAAGTAGCACCTTGATGTGCTCTGCCGGCCAGCTGGCAGCCCGCTCTTGTGGCCTATCACGCCTCATTGTTGTCAAAGAAAACCGGAAGATGTATTTCAGTAGACGTTTATGCACCAGAGGAAAGGCTCACAGGAGTCCGAGCACCAGTGACCCATATGCAAGAGAAGGAAATGTAAATGTGATGCGAGTCGAGGTTCTCTGATGCATCTGACCCAGTTCCATACACCATCTGTACAAGCCTTCAAAACCAGGTGTCTGCACAGCCAGAAAATATCTACATCTTTCCATTCATGCAGTAGAGGATTCAGAAGAGGCAGTTTCCAAGCTCATAGGAATGTTTCCTATAGGGGGAAAAGTTGATTTTACAAAGACTAGTGTTAAATCCAGAAAACAATCTTTCATATATACCCATTTTCTGGAAGTTCAAACCACAGATACCTTCTAAATCAACATTATCCTTTCAATTAAACCAAAAGGATACTGATGTTTCTAATAAGTGATTTTAAAACCCTGGATGTGCAGCTGGATCAAACTATGACACTGATGGGTTGCTGTGAGTTTTCCGGGCTGTATGATCATGTTCCAGAAGCATTCTCTCCTGACATTTCATCTGCATCTATGGCCGGCATCCTCAGAGGTTGTTGAGGTCTGTTGGAAACTAGGCAAGTGAGGTTTATATTTCTGTGGAATATCCACGGTGAGAGAAAGAACTCTTGTCTGTTTGAAGCAGGTGTGAATGTTGCAATTGACCATGGTGATTAGCATTTAATGTCCTTGCAGCTTCAAAGCCTGGCTGATTGCTGCTTGGGAGATCCTTTGTTGGGAGGTGTTATCTGGAATTTCCCTGCTTTTTGAATGTTGCTCTTTATTTACTGTCCTGATTTTAGAGTTTTTTTAATACTGGTAGCCAGATTTTGCTCATTTTCATGGTTTTCTCCTTTCTGTTGAAATTGTCCACATGCTTGTGGATTTCAATGGTTTCTCTGCGTAGTCTGTTATGGTAATTGTTATATACCCTTCCACACAATCACATAACCCAGAATATCAAGTCAGAGTGTAATAGAGTGCAAGACGGTGGATATACACTGCCATATAATGTAGTTTCTGAATGTAGGCGAACTGCTTTGAACTGGCTTAAGCAGCTGAGGGGGGAAAGGGAAGAGCCTGAGGCTGTTAGGAACTTAGAAGGCCCAAGTTGGCCCATGTCTGATCTACACTGCCATATACAATCCAGTTCATCTGCATTCAGAAACTGGATTATATAGTGGTGCGAATGGGGCCTGAATCTGATGGGATCAAGTCATAGAATCCCGAATAGATTACTGCAATGCACTCTAAGCGGGGTTGCCTTTGAAGACTGTTCGGATGCTCCAACTAGTCCAACAGGCGGGAGCCAGATTACTTACAGGAGCGACATACAGGAAGCATACCACCCCACTGTTGTGTTAGCTCCACTGGCTGCTGGTCCATTTCCGAGCACAATTCAAAGCCCTATATGGTTCCAGCCCAGCTTACTTGTCCAAACATATCTCCCTCTACGTTCCGTCTCGGACTTTAAGATCGTCCAGGGAGCCCTGCTCTCGGTCGCCTTCTTCGCAAACACATTTGGTGGGGATGAGAGACAGGACCTTCTGTGGTGACCCCTTGCCTGTGGAACACCCTTCCCAGTGAGATTAGGTCAGCTCCATCCTTCCTCTCCTTCAGGAAGAAGCTAAAATCCTGGTTCTGGGGCCAGCACTTGGGGAGCAGGTTTGATAGCAATTGCAACGTTTACATGAACTGACAACGGACAGGCTCTGACAAAGTTCTGGTCCGGTTTACCTATCTAAACGTATCTCTCCTTATGAACCATCTAGGACTTTAAGATCATCTGGGGAGGCCCTGCTCTCAATCCCGCCTTCCTCGCAGATGCGTTTGGTGGGGACGAGAGACAGGGCCTTCTCAGTGGTGGCCCCTCGACTATGGAACACCCTCCCCAGGGATGTAAGATTGGCTCCCTCCCTTCTAACATTCCACAAAATGGTTAAGGCCTGGCTCTTCGAGCAAGCTTTTTCTACTAGAGCATAATTAGACGTAAACAAATATATGGAATGACTGACAATGCAACTGGACAATGATTTTAGTAAGGAGACGCCGAAGGATCTTGTTTTTACAGATATATTTGCTTTTTATGTTACATTTAAATGTTGAATTGTTTTTATAATTGTTTTAACTGTATTTTGATATTTGTCATGGCATTCAATTGCTGCTGAATGTGAACTGCCTTGAGTCGCCTCTGGCTGAAAAAGGCAGTATACAAATGCGGTATATAAATAAAATAAATAAAGTCTTTGGACGCTGAATTGGATTGGATTTGGCTGCTAATAATGTTTTTAAATGGATTTTAACTTAATGGTTTTATTTAATGTGTAATTTTAATAATAATAATAATAATAATAATAATAATAATAATAATAGTTTTTATTCCACCAATTCCATCATTTTCAAATTACATTAAAAGAGGGGGAACAATTGGGTTGATAGAAAAGCAGGAAGGGAAGAAAGAAGAAAAAGAGAAAAAGAAAAAAGGGAAAAGAGGGAAATTAATGGGGGGAAGGTGTGGAGGGGAGGTAAAGCTTAGAAGTACTTCCAGTTCGATCTGCAGGGAGATAGTTTTTCAAATAGTTCCTCCTATGTGATTTACTAACTAGCAGTGTGTGTGTGTGTGGTTTTTTTAATTTTATTTTTCCCTCTTTAACCTAAATTTGTAACTTCATTTCTTCCTGCAAATATCTTCTTAGTGGTTTCCAATTGGTTTGGTACCTTTTGTTTGTATTTTCCAATAAACGCGATAATTTATCCATATTCATATATTCTATTATTTTTTCTAGCCAGTCTTCAATTAGAGGATGATCTTTTGCTTTCCATTTCTGGGCTACTATTATTCTTGCCACTGCCGACAAATAAAACAAAATCTTTTCATCATTTTTTCCTAGTTCAAAATTGGTTATATTCAATAGATAGTATTCCGGTTTCATGTCAAATTTCACCTTAATAATTTTTTGAGTGTGTTTGTATATTGTTGATATGTTATTTTGTGTGTTGTTGATATATGAATATCATCGCTTACACTTGAGGCTCAGGCGTCGGCGGTGTCTGGGAGGGCTTTCGCACAATTAAGACTCGTGCGCCAACTGCAACCGTACCTCGCGAAGGCTGATCTGGCCGGAGTGGTCCATGCCTTGGTCACCTCTAGGGTGGATTACTGTAATGCGCTCTATGTGGGGCTGCCCTTGAAAACGGCTCAGAAATTCCAACTGGTCCAACGAGCAGCAGCCAGGATGTTAACTGGCGCTCCTTACAGAGAGAGGTCAACCCTCCTGTTCAAGGAGCTCCACTGGCTGCCGTTTATCTTCCGAGCCCAATTTAAGGTGCAGGTGCTTACCTACAAAGCCCTGAACGGTTTGGGACCAGCCTACCTGCGTGATCGCATCTCCATCTACGAACCCACGCACTCCCTTCGTTCATCTGGAGAGGCCCTGCTCGTGATCCCACCTGCGTCACAAGCGCGTTTGGTGGGGACACGAGACAGGGCTTTTTCCGTGGTTGCCCCCCGACTCTGGAATACCCTCCCCAAAGATCTCAGACAGGCCCCTACATTGGCAGTCTTCAGAAAGAACTTGAAGACCTGGCTGTTCCGATGTGCCTTCCCCGAATAGGAAACCTCCAATACCAAGTCCCATAAGCACTTTATTAAAGTTAAGACCGCTGCACACCACACACTGCACTTGCCCATAAGCCTCATATTCCACCTGTCACATCAGCACTTTTAACTCTTGTACCCTTACTCTGGCCCGGCCCAGTTTTATCGTGTCTTAGTGGATTGTTCATTGTTTGTTGTTGTTTAGATTGCTTTAATTGTTTTTAATTTGCCTAGGTTTTGTATTATTGTATTGTGTGTTGAGGCCTCGGCCTTTGTAAGCCGCATCGAGTCCTTCGGGAGATGCTAGCGGGGTACAAATAAAGTTTAATAATAATAAATAATAATAATAATAAATATATTATTTTGTGTATTGTTGATATATGAATATTTCTTGATTGTTTTACAGCTCCACCATAAATGAAAGTGAGTGCCCACTTCCCTACCACATTTCCAACATTGGTTGTTATATTTTTTAATAAAAATTTTGCTAATTGAAGAGGAGTTAGATACCAGCAGTAGAATATTTTGTACCAGCCTTCAACTATGTTAGTGGCTCTTGTATATCTTAATTTGGTCATCCAGACGTGTTCCCATTCCTTTAATGTGTCATGTTGTGATATATTGTGTATGTATTCTGTATGTGTTGGCATCAAATTGTTGTTGATGTAAGCCGCCCTGAGTCCCTCTTGAGAAGGACGGGGTACAAATGTTGGAAATAAATAATAGCAGGCTAGGCTTTGGTTGGACCTAAGACACATCTTCTTTGAGAACAGGACAGTCTGACAATGGGATGAGGCCCTTTCCCATTGCTAGAGCCCTTCCAGCAGAAGCCAGGCAGCCATGTATTGCCAATCTATGTCCTTCCTTCCTCCCCAATTGGGATACCAATGCCATCACATTATTTCTATAGGGAATGTCCTAAAAAAAAGAGCAAGGGCATGTTGTATATGTGGAATTCCTACCTTCTCACACCTCTCTTATTAACCTTTTCCAAGGGTGCCTTTATTCCTCAAGCAAAAGGGCCTGGGAAGGAAAATGGGGGGGGGGGGGGTGATGCTCTTGGGTGAAGGGCAAAACGGGCACCGCCACTCCCTCTGCGGAAAAGGAACCTTGAGGCCCAGCAGTCCCATCTCCTTCTCCCCCTCCCCATCCATTGAGCGCCCCCTGAGGCCAACGCCCGCCCCCCAAAAGACAATCCCAGACACAGACAGACAGACAGACCCACCTACCTGCTTGTTTAAAGACCCACCATCAAGGGAGGAGTCACTTAGGCCTCGAAGCCGTCCAGCAGCCAATCGGAGATGCCAACGAGCTTGCTCTGGGCGCACGACTGGCTCCTCTACTTGTCACTCAAAAGGAAAACAAGGGGCGGGTCTCTGGGTGGAATTCTTTCTCTGCGGGCGATCCATTCTAATCGGAGGCGAACCGGGGGTGGGAGTGGCTGAGCGGCCCTGTCAATCAAAAGGGGGCGGGGGAAAGTGTTGCTTGGTTGTCGTTGAGCTAAAGGGGAGGATGAAGGCCCCAATCCCAGATTATCTGCCTACTTGGTTGAGGTTAACCCAGGCATAGGTAAACTTTGGCCCTCAGGTGTTTTGGACTTCAACTCCCACAATTCCTAACAGCCTCAGGCCCCTTCCTTTCCCCCCTCAGCCACTTAAGAAGTAGGGGGCCACCAGTGAGAAGGCCCTCTGAAGTCCAAAAGACATGAGGGTCCAAAAGGACCTGAAGCTTCCAAAAGGGCCCGAGGCTGTTAGGGATTGTGGGAGTTGAAGTCCAAGAGGACCTGAGGCTGCCAAAAGAGCCTGAAGCGGTTAGGAATTGTGGGAGTTGAAGTCCAAAAGGGCCTGAGGCTGTTAGGAATGGTGGGAGTTGAAGTCCAAAAGGGCCTGAGGCTGTTAGGAATGGTGGGAGTTGAAGTCCAAAAGGGCCCGAGGCTGCCAAAAGGGCCTGAGGCTGTTAGGAATGGTGGGAGTTGAAGTCCAAAAGGGCCCGAGGCTGCCGAAAGGGCCTGAGGCTGTTAGGAATGGTGGGAGTTGAAGTCCAAAAGGGCCCAAGGCTGCCAAAAGGGCCTTAGGCTGTTAGGAATTGTGAGAGTTGAAGTCCAAAAGGGCCTTAGGCTGTTAGGAATTGTGGGAGTTGAAGTCCAAAAGGGCCCGAGGCTGCCAAAAGGGCCCGAGGCTGTTAGGAATGGTGGGAGTTGAAGTCCAAAAGGGCCTGAGACTGCCAAAAGGGCCTGAGGCTGTTAGGAATTGTGGGAGTCAAAGTCCAAAGGGGTCAGAGGCTGTTAGAAATGGTGGAAGTTGGTCCAAAAGGGCTTCAGGGTGTTAGGAATGGTGGGAATTGAAGTCCAAAACACCTGGAGGGCCAAAGTTTGCCCATGCATTCTGTAGACTCATATAATCCACTTCAAAGCAGATGTGTGTTGTCTGCTTCTGGATTACATGGCAGTGTAGAAAGGGCCTAAGGGCCTCCTTTTGTCCTCCTAGTTGAGGAGTATAATATAGAGAGTGCATCTACACTGTAGAATTAATTCGGTTTGGCATCACTGTAACTGCCACGTCCAAAACACCTGGGGGGAGGCGGCAAAGTTTTTCCCCATGCCTGATCTAGAAGCAGAGCTGCCTTTCTTTTGACACACACACCAAAGAACTACAGCTCCCATAAGGCCAGGCGCGAGCTTCCGGAACTTCTCCGGAAAGTGGTGAAACAAGGAGCCTGACTTCCGGTGGAGCGGTAAAAATGGAGGAAATCGGGATCCTAGTGGAGAAAGCGCAGGTGAGGAAGGAAGGGAGGCGAGCGGGAGGGGCTGCGGGGCTTCCTGGGCGGCCTTGGCCCGGTAGCTTTCCCCGCCGGCTCCTGGGGCCAAGAGGCAGGCGGATTGGCCGCCGAGATCCCTGCATCCAAGCGAGGTGCCTAGTCACCGCTTCCTCCCCTCATTCTTCCTCTGGGCACAATGGCTGCCAGGACCCAGGCCTGTCTCTCACCATTTATTGAATGCCAAATAGCTAGTCATCTGGTGGGAGTGCTTTGCTGTGCTCCTGCATAGTAGAAGGGAGCTGGACCGGGTACTCCTTGAGACCTTTCCCAACCCATCTATAGTTCTGCCTGTCACAGTCAAATAACACTATGTAACAAAATTTGAAAAAATGTTCTGTTCCTGGTCCGGAAGTGTCATTTCCTGTTTAATTGTGCTGTGCTTACTTTGAAAGTAGTAGTTATACTTCAGAAACTTCATTTTTGTGCCTGCCACAACTCTAGGACAGCCATGGGCCAACTTCGGCCCTCCAGGTGTTTATAATAATTTTTATTGAACATTTTTCTACAATATTTTAAAATGATTATTATAAGTGGATCATTATATTTTAATTGGTTTTATATTACTTTTATTATGTAATATTAAATGTTTTTGACTGATATGTATGTATGTTGTGGCATCTAATAGTTGCCGATCTGTACGCCACCCTGAGTTGCTTTTGGGCTGAAAAGAGTAGGATGAAAAGGCTGTAAATCAGTGGTTCTCAACCTTCCTAATGCCGCAACCAGTTAATACAGTTCCTCATGTTGTGATGACTCCCAAACATAAAATTATTTTTGTTGCTACCTCATAAGTGTAATTTATAAAATTACTAGCTGTCCCCTGCCACGCTGTGGCCCAGTCTGGTGATCTGGAAAATAAAGTAACGAGAAAGTATTGGTTTCTAATATATGTAATGTCTTTATGCTTGTGGGTAAACAGTATTTCTTGCTGTTTCTTTGCCAGTGTTGATGTGGAGATTGTCTGGTTTGCCTACTCTGGAACATGCTACATATAATTGTACTTCTTTAGGGGTCCCTTTCAAATCTTTGATACTGCATCTCTCATCTACATATATGTCTGTGTGTGAATGGCTGGATGGTCCTTTGTCAGGAGGGCTTTGATTATGTTTTCTTGCCCTGGTGAAGGGAGTTGGACTGGATGGCCTTAAGGCAGCATTTCTCAACCTGGGAAATCATGGGGGTTCTGTGTGGGAAGTTTGCCCCAATTCCGTCGTTGGTGGGGTTCAGAATGCACCTTGATTGTAGGTGAACTATAAATCCCAGTAACTACAACTCCCAAATGTCAATGTCTATTTCCCCCAAACTCCATCTGTGTTTATATTTGGGCATATTGAGTATTTGTGCCAAGTTTGGTCCAGATCCATCATTGTTTGAGTCCACAGTGCTCTCTAGATGTAGATGAGCTACAACTCCAAAACTCAAGGTCAATGCCCACCAAACCCTTCTAGTGTTTTCTGTTGGTCATGTTTAGATGTCCAATCTGTTTATATGTTTAGATGTCCAATCTGTTGTTGTTGTTGAATTATTATTATTATTATTATTATTATTATTTTGCTCTGCCTTGTTGATTATTTGTGTCAGTGATTGTTGAGCCAGTGATTCTGAATGTCTTGTGAGGATAAAGTATGGACAACTGAGTGCTGTTTGGAGGAAAATGAGAATAAAAGCGCTGTAAATAAATACAGTAGTCTGTGAAAGAGCGTCTGCTTCAATTGATCTATGTTCAAGGCTTCATTGGTTGCAATTATAGATGCTACACATGCTTTGGTATGCATGAAGTGACCCTAGCTGTCCTCTGGGTTCAATTGTAGAGTTAATACATGGTGCTGATGGACTCCCATATTATTTTGTGAGAGTTTTGAGCAAACAATTCTATGAGACCATCATATTCTATTCATTACCTCTTGTAGTCTATAAAAGTCTTCCAAACAACTTTATTTTTATATGTATTCAAGTCATCAAATTGTGCCTTTGTTGTGAGTTGCCCTGAATCCCCCTTGGGGTGAGAAGGGCTGGATATTAATGTGGTAAATAAATAAATAAACAAACTTTCAATTCCCTAATCTCTTTCTTTGATTCTAGGATGAGATTCCTGCTCTCTCAGTTTCAAGGCCACAGACTGGCCTCTCATTCCTCGTTCCTGAGGCTGAGGATGTTGAAGATTTGTATAGCCGGTACAAGGTAAGCAACCTCATTCTTTTGTTCACTTTCACACTGTTTGTGGTATTGACAGATACTATTGTGTCTGTTTTTCACTCTAGATCTGTCACTGTAGAACAGAAGTGGGAGAAATTTCATCTGCAAGCCTCCTGTGGCTAAATTCCATAGTTTTTCAGTCCTAATTATAGAGTTATAGACTATGCCAATTTGTGCTGTTGCATACTGTAACGACGGCACCAGTTGTAGGGACGTTACTGACTTGTCAGGGACTCCTACAATTTGTAATGAATCTTGAAAATCGATAACACAGCCATTAGCCTGTAATATTTTGTTTATCTTCCTTTGATATGTAACGTGGCTTGACTTGAAAGTATACGAAACAGGGGCTTGGATTTAAGAGAAACTGTAATAAATTTATTGAAGTATAGAAGCTTAATGGTTTCAATGTTTCTTAACTCCTAGAAGTACATTCCTTTAGTGGTTACATTTATAACTTTTCATAAAACAACTCTTAAGAGGACTGTTCTTTCCACTAGACAGGTTTTAAACTTATTTCCTTCAAAATGTGTTTCTTTCCTTAACAGATCACTCCAGGTACTAGCCTATTCTTTCCCTCTGTTATCTATATTACAGTAAAGATTCTTACTGGGGTTCTCTTCCCCTTTTTACTCAAACCCTAACTACTAATCTAAATAAGTCAGCTTGACCTATCTAAACCACACAGGATAAAAGCCTAAACCTTCCTGATTCTCAACACAGTAGAACCAGCTTTCCTTGAAGTTCTCTAACTACAGACTGCCTATTTAAAATGCCTGCTCTTGCCAAGTGGCAGTTGGCTCCTCCCCTTTTACCATGGCAACCCATCTCATGGTGAGCTGAGCTGGCTACCATTCCCCCCCCCCCCCAGATATGCTATTTTAAATATTTATCCCTTTAAACACCTACCTACAATTATACTTGACTGTAGGTTAAAATTCACACTTCACCACACATGCAATCTTTAAAACAGTCAAATTAAAACAATTCAAAACTAATTTTTAAAAAGCAAGGTTTCCCAAACCTTTTTTTGCTGAAGTTCTAGAGAAGAACAGCCTGATGTAGCTGGGCAAGTTTTTTCTGAGTCAGCAATTTGGATGCTGAAGGTAGGTTTCCATATCTTTTTTGTGTTCAGAAATTACAACAAGAGCTGGAGTTCTTGGAGGTCCAAGAAGAGTACATCAAGGATGAACAGAAGAACCTTAAGAAGGAATTCCTACATGCCCAGGAGGAGGTGAAACGTATCCAGAGCATCCCACTTGTCATTGGCCAGTTCCTAGAGGCAGTTGATCAGAACACAGCCATTGTTGGATCCACCACAGGTATGTCACCTGCCTTTCTTTCTTCCCAGTCTGGCAGATAACCCGCCCCCCTAGCGCTGCAAAGCAGCTTACTTGATCATGGTTGGTGATGGCTGCCATTTTATTTTCCCCCAATGTTCAGAATTTCACTGGATCCCAGGGCATTGTGGGAAATTAAAATAGTAGCTACACTCAGCTGCCTCGGAATGGGGGCAGGGGAAAAGCAGGCTAAGGACGAGTGTTAGCCATAGGCCTGCCCAGGGTTCTCTGCCCTTACAGGTGACCAAGGCTGAATGAGCATGCACCTCATTTTTGGAGCTACATTAGAAAATGATCTGTCTTCCTTCACTGAAAGTCTTTCTGTTCTTACCTTGACAATATTTCTCTTGCAGGTTCCAACTATTATGTCCGTATCTTGAGCACCATTGACCGGGAGCTGCTAAAGCCCAATGCCTCTGTGGCCCTACACAAGCACAGCAATGCCTTGGTGGACGTGTTGCCTCCTGAGGCTGACAGCAGCATTATGATGCTTACCTCAGGTAAGGCTCTAAACCAGGAGTGGCAGCTTTGGAAGGACAAGTATTTTACCCCCTGCCCTCCAAGGGCCATCACCTAAAGTGATGTCAAGGCACTCTCAGTTTTTCTTTTGGATACTTGGAGTTGCAGTTTTGGGGGCTTTTACATATATTGAGAGTTTGTGGAGGCACAGCCATATACTGGAATCTGCCTGGACATTATCTTATAAGATAGTATTGGTAATGCTTAAACTTGCAAAGCATATCTTTGGATAGTATTGGTAGTGCTTAAATTTGCAAATGCTTTTCTTATGTATCGTCAAAGAAAGCTGACATGTTGTTACCTCCCCTGTTGGGCAAGGACTCTTGTATGTTGTGTCCCTTGGGTGCACTTGATGAGTGAGACCCAAGAGAAATCAAGATTTCTTGACAATGCTTGTAAAGTAGGATGGGTTTGTGACACTCCTATTGTTGCTGAAATATGGCTCTGGTCAGCTTTAGCTAACATACCATAGCCAATGATGATGAATGATAGCAGTAGCAGTCCAGTGATGTTTTAAGCTGTGTTGGAGCAATGTTATAGAGGGCATTTCTTTAGACTGGGCATTAATATACTTTTTGTTGGTCTTCTCTAAACAGATCAGAAGCCAGATGTGATGTATGCTGATATTGGAGGGATGGATATTCAGAAACAGGAAGTGAGGGAGGCAGTGGAGTTGCCCCTCACACATTTTGAACTCTACAAACAGGTATTGGATCTACAGTCCTAGGTTGCGAAAAGTACACAAATGTATTTGTTGTCGAAGACTTTCATAGCCAAAATCACTGGGTTTCTGTGAGTTAAAAGACCTCACAGCCTTTTAGGATGCCTGCCATAGATGTGGGTGAAACGTCAGGAGAGAATGCTTCTGGAACATAGCCATACAGCCTGGAA